CTCTCTCTCTCTCTCTCTCTCTCTCTCTCTCTCTCTCTCTTCTCTTTTAGTCTCCCTCAACTCTCTCTCCTCTCCATGCTATTTCATGTTTGTGATGAAACCATTGCATCACCGTTTTGCATCAAAATTATTTCCTCACACACTTGACGAAACATGTTTCGAAATACGCGCTTCGAGAAGAAGAAAAAGAAAAGATATCGGCCAGCATTATTTATCAGCTGCGTTCGAAGGAAGTCAGCAATTTCTTACCATAGGTCCGTTGCACACACTCAGAATGTTTGACATAGATATTCCTGTTTGACTGATCTTCTGGTTGAATCTGAAGTCTTCAAAAAGCTGTTTGTTGGGGGATTTTTTTAAATTGTCAAAAACCCCAAATCCAACTGTACGATAACCAGTATAAGGAGGGAAGGGGACAGAGAGAGAGAGAGAGAGAGAGAGAGAGAGAGAGAGAGAGATGGGGGTAATATAAGCATTTGGAAGGGAGGGGGTAGGTAGACAAGAAAAAAATAACGCACTTAACTAAATATTGTTATCATGTTTTGAGAAAAGTCAAACAAGGGTCAATGCTACCCTTGTAAGATTGAGTGTCGTATTTTATTGGTTTTGAGCACCAGAAATGAATGGGCTGGATTTGGTACGGAACTTTTAGTAACCTTGGGCAGATATGCCAGTCAGGGAGACATGTCTAGGGGTAAGTGGGCCACAGGGCTGGTTGTACTATTCATTTAAATACACCCCCGACCTACTTAAGATTAAAGCTAGAGAGGCATGCCCATTCACCATTCTATGCACCCATCTCCCCATGCATTTACCATCTAACTGTTCCACATTCATTGACACAGCTTTTAGCAGAGGTGCTTCAACGCTTAGGTACCACGCTGCATTCTCAGTCGTTACTTTTAGAATGACCATTGCGGTCTTTTCATTACTTTCCTGCGTTCCGAAATGACCAATTACAGTATTCCTACACCAGTCACCAGTCCGCACGAATTGGCTGGTGTGAAAGGCCATTACGCCACAAATCTCCTTCGACTGACTCGTCTCTGGGTAACTAGAGAATTTTTAGTCTTCAGCTGTATCTCCACCACAAACCGCTCAGTCATTTAGTCGTGTGCAGAATAAATAGAATGTTTTCCATAAGCTTTTCCTAAACACGTCCCGCTTATGCAATCGTGTTTTGCATACACACAAAAAAAAGGGGGGGGAGGAGGGGGTGTGAAGGTGATTAAGGATTTTCAATGACAAGACGGAAACCCGAAGTCAAAGGACGCCAAGGCGATAAGAAGGCCATATCCTCAATATCCGTTCAGCGCTCGTGTCAAGGTTTTTATATAAAGCCATTTTACATGTCCTTTTTAGGAAGTATATTTCTGACCTCGTAAAAAGATAATACGCTTGTGTCTGCAGACGTATTGGGGTCACTGGTGAATAGACACTCAAACGATAAGAACACTTCAGCGGAATATTGTGGCAACGCAGTTTTTTGGTGTCTGTGATTATCTATGCAGAAACGTTTTAAATATTCAATGAAAAAGATTTAGAGTTTCTGTGTCCAAATGTATTTTGCTGTCCCTCCCTCCGTGTCGTCGGGTCTTCTCTGTGTGTTCACTTATACTATCCTTTGTTGTAGTCTGGTGTGCATGTTGTTCAGACTTATTTGTTTTCCTCAAATAATTTTTATTTAGCTATAAATAATATATTTGTCGTTGTTGTTGTTATTGTTGTTGTTGTTGTTGTTGTTGTTGTTGTTGTTGTTGTTGTTGTTGTTGTTATTGTTGTTGTTATTGTTGCTGTCGTTGATATTTTCCAACAGTTTTTTAAAGTCAATTTGGCTTGCACCAGCGTCCCCCCCCCTTTCCCCCAAACCAGACAACACGAAAATAATATTATTTTTACATTCACCCTCGATTCTTCTCGTCTTCTAATTACTTGTTTCCACTGTTCTTAAAGGGAAGTCGAGGTCTTGATAATTTTTTTTCAAACAGGGTTTAAAAATGCCATTCTGAAATGAATGTCTAAGCAGAATTGAGACAGCTCCACCTTAACTCCCAGTGCCACCTACGCAGTTGCGCTTGGAACGCAGACAGACAAACAAACAGTCAAGCTTTCAATCAAATTCCCCCGCTATCTCTCATTAAAAAAACAACGTAACTTTCAAATCACGTACAAAAGCTTTGCTGCAGTTTTTAAACTAAGTGCACCCGATACAGCGCGTGGACAACGAAAGTCGTTTCAGCAACGTCATTCGACATCGATGTCAAAACTTAACCCTTTCATTTCTGAGGCATTTCCATCTACGTTTGTACAGACTCGACGAAACGTTTATTCAAGAGAGATTCAACCAACCTCTTCCCTTATTCATGAACAAACGATAGCACAAGTTGTAGTCATATTTTCTAACCCCCCC